GCAGTGCGCGAAATAGTTTCCAAATTTTGCTAGCCAGTCGGGCTAGCTATGCCTGAAAGTTACTAGCCCACAAAATAATTCACTTGCCCGAAATTTGAATGTGGACACGGGTTTCATCATTAATCTGCTAATATGGTGAACATTTTTATCAGGCCATAATCTTGCATGATATAAAAGTGTATTATAACTTACTTAACAAGTAGGAGAGAGAGTGATATATTTACAAAATGACCCCATGAAAATTCACTAGCCAGTCGGACCAGTGACTGTGAAGATTTACTGGCCCTATTGGATTTTTACTATCCACGGGCTAGCAGGCCAGTGGCTATTTCGCACACTGATGGTAAGTTGTATTACGTTCGAACTCTTGGCCGTCAGTTAAACTGACTAGAAACACGTTTAACTTCACAATAACATTGTACACAGTGTTAGTGAGGCTGTACACCACTTAAGGGATTTCTAGGATTATGATGGCAGATAAATCAATCTTGATTAACAATGGACTTAATATATCTTACCCGGATGCAGTGAATAAATTCCGATTGGTCAGTGTGACGAACAAATGCTTTAACAATCGCTCCTCCAAGAGTGCAAGTACAATATGAGATTGCCACACTGAACTGATAATATCCACCCGTGACGTTCTTTCTACAAGTCTTCAATACACCCGTTATCACATTTCCATCCATCTGTTTAAACTCAGGGGTCGGAAGGCATTCATAATCATATATTATTTATACTTCTTTTAAATAAACTGTTGGAGGGGGTTGACCACATTACCTGTTTTAGGGGGATTTATTTCTTGTTTAATGCCAAACTCAGCAATATCCTAACTTTAAATTACATTTGTGACGTCATTCCATTGTTTGCTCGCTCCATTACTTTTCGGGAATGGAGCGATGTGTACCAGTTTCAAATTAAAGCCTTCATTTTGTCATTTTGACATTTAATTTTGATAACAGAAATTTCCCCAGTTCTTTGAATGTAATTTAAGCAGGGTAATATCCTCGTAACTCTCCATTCCTTAAAAATAATGTGCCTCGGCCCCTCCGGGGCCTCGGCTCCATTATTTTTAAGGAATGGAGAGTTACTCGGACATTACCCTCTACATATGTGTATTTCATAGAGTAAAGAAAGAAGGAATAAAACCACAATACTGTTCTTGTAAGACGAAAAAATGACGAGGCGGGATGTTTGGCAGTGAAGTGGATGTTTGTTAGTATGGCGAGGTGTTTGGTTTAAAAAGGGGGTTGTTTGGCAGTGAGGTGGATGTTTGTTAGTATGGCGAGGTGTTTGGTATTAAAAAGGGGATGTTTGGTAGTGAGGTGGATGTTTGTTAGTATGGCGAGGTGTTTGGTATTAAAAAGGGGGATGTTTGGTAGTGAGGTGGATGTTTGTTAGTATGGCGAGGTGTTTGGTATTAAAAAGGGGGATGTTTGGCAGTGAGGTGGATGTTTGTTAGTATGGAGAAAGGGGGGATGTTTGGTATTAAAAAATGGGGGTGTTTGGCAGTGAGGTGGATGTTTGGTTAGTATGGCGAGGTGTTTTGTTAGTATTAGAAAAGGGGATGTTTGGATGTTTGTTAGTGAGGTGGATGAAAGGGGGATGTTTGGCAGTGAGGTGGATGTTTGTTAGTATGGCGAGGTGTTTGGTATTAAAAAGGGGGATGTTTGGTAGTGAGGTGGATGTTTGATAGTGAAGCGGAATGTTTGGTAGTGATGTGGGCAAGATGAAAATCCGATAATACATGTACTTTGGTCTAGCAGTGTTTTTTCTATATCCTTTTTTTTCTGGTAACAAACTTTGTATACATTCCAAATATACCTTAATCGATAATAAGAAGCAATCGCCATATGTGTGCTATAGGCAATAAGCAAAACACATTTAATGAAACGCGAACGATTGCTTAACAAGACATGCTAGCATTTGTTTAAACAAAACACAACATTCTATACTACATATATTGATTAAGTTGAAATATTCGCCTTCACAATAGTAATTCATTAAACGCGAATTTCACCGCAATTTTAAGAACAAATTACAAAATTTAAGTATCACTGTAAGTTATATCAGCTTTTTAAAAATCGACAAACGTTTTTACAATGTTTATGTGTCCCTTTCCGAACCTAATATCATTACATATAAACAGATAAGACACATTTTAGGAGTGAACAATGAGTTTTGATACACATAGCTCCATCGGGTATGTAATCTAGAATATGTAAACATTGCCTGTCATTGAGACTTGACTGTTTCTCTGTCGGTTTTCATTCTTCAACGATAATGAATCAGGAGAACTACGGGACACTGAAATAATTCTTTGCTTGTACACCGATATCCAGTTATTCGATTCAGATGTAAGCAAAATTGAAATTTCGGTCACAAGGATGTTGGGTGTAAATCGTCCGTATCTAAAAGTACATGAGCTAAACCGAACATAAACCCTGTAATCTACTCGCAGCAAGATGTGATCTTAGGTGTGGGTTATCAATTGATATAAATACGAAATATTAGGAGAATGCAAAAAATGTTGAAAAGAAGAGGTTTGGTGACCTCTCGGTCAATGTAGCTAGCAATTGCACAGCATAGCTCCATTTCTCTCCGACAAATACTTGTCCGTTAAGCGTTACACAGCCGGATTAATAACTAGGCCCTATTAATAGTGGCGGTGAGAGGCACTCCGTATTGTTTCTCTGACACACCCACATACTCTAGATTCGTGCGTTGAGATATTCGCGTAGCCACAGACTTGGCCACGGCGGCCTCAAAGCCTTCCCAGTGCAAAAGCTGTCTTTGTAGCTATGAATATAAACCGTTATGAACGGCGAGGAGCGAGATTCACGCTAAAGTCGTTATGTTGTGTGAAACGAAATGTGTCTGCCATTTCACAAGCATGGGAATCTTTCTCTCGCTCGACTGTTTTCAAAATAAACAAGAGTACATGTGCCCTGGTGGAACTTTTTAAAGTTTATATACATCTGGGTCAATCAGAAAACTGCGGCTGGAGGTCAGAGGTTGGAATGGGCGTGACGTTTAAATAGCCACTGGTGCATGGTGTTGGGTCATTAGCAGAACACACGCTGGACATCGGGAGGTGGGGGAGAGAGGGAAGGGGGGTTCTTCCACAGGGGCAGACGGCTCGCATTTCACGTCTGCTCGTGTGAAGCAGACGATATAAGCCATTTCGCCGGATATGACAGCTCGATCTAGCGGTAATGCTTTTTATCGCAGGATGTTTTGTTGGGAAGCGACCACGCCCTCTCTCGGCGGCTTCAGCCATTGCGGACAAGGTCGTGGCCGTTCGGGCTTCACTTCCTCGGTCGATACTGCTTATATTGTTAGCAGCCATCAACATTCCGTGTCTAACACAGGGATAAAAACGCTGAGAGCTGGTGTGAAACTCGAGAACGTACACCACTCCCTCTCAACGTAAGTTGAAACTCGTAGAATGTTAAAAAAAAACTAGAGTAAGCACTTCGCATCAATGAAGGCCAGTCTCCAATTCCTTGCGATAGAACTGTTCTGGCGACTAAGCTCCACGGGAGTGGAGGGTATATGGTTAGCGTTAACTTGTACAATCGTTCATATTCAACAGCATTGAGATGTATAAGTGGGTAAGTTGTCTGGACTCCGTATTTCGGGATCAGCCATCCTAGGATCTGCATCTCGGCACCGCGTGGGACAAAAGTACAGGCGTCGGGGTTCCACAACCAAGATTCTACACTTCACGGGCGAACACTCACAGACCTATTCATTCGGACACATACGCGTTTTGGGGGAATGATTCCTGCGTTTGAACTGCGGGATGATTTGCTTGATGTGGTGCTGTAGAGATCAAGTGTCAGCTGATGCTTCTATTGGGGGCAGCGTTTTGGAGGTTAGGGGGTTCGGTAGTTAGACGGACATCCATAATCGTTATCAGAAAAAGTGTGATTAATACAAAGATTTAAGCGACTTACTATAACTTGTCACGGTGCCCCATCATCATCATCATCATCATCATCATCATCGTCATTGTTAACCTCATCCTTGTATTATTATTATCTTCAAAATAATGGCCCAAATGCACTTATAAATTTAAAACTTCTCACGAATGAATTTGAAATGAACAGGATTGCTAATACACAAGACTAATGGTAATAATAATCGCGAAAACAAATAATAATCATAATATAATAATACACTATACATTTTATCCTTTAATATGTAAATGTTTAACTATAATATTCATTCTAATAAAAATAATAATCCATAACCCCTGCTTTAAAATGATAATTATTAATATTTTGTGATTATCATCACAGTGACCCACTTTACACGGATACCGACTTTGGATGAGGCAACATCACATTACGTCGCAGTGATGATGGCGCGTACAGTTATCAGTGTTCATTCATGCAGTTCAGTTATAAATACGTGGCTCGCATTCCGCTGGTCACATGAACATTTACTACAGCGAGTCTTTGTTCTGCAATAAAGTAGGAGCATAAACACGCTTTGAGGAAACCGGTGACAGAAACAGCCCAGCAGGGGCCGTGCGCTCACTCCCTTACATAAAATACCTGTAACAATCGTAGGCGTGAAAGACAAGGCGACACCCGGTGTCAAGATAAACAATGAGACACCCGTGTGGATACAAACCTGCAATAAACATCAGGATGAAACAGAGTAAGAAAACCCGACCACTATAAACGTGTGATGGTCGTAGGTTTGAAAGACAATAAGACACCCGGTGTCGATACAAACCTGCAATAAACATAAGTGTGAAACAGTAAGAAAACCCGACCAACATACACATGCAAAGTATTTGAAAGACAATGTAACACCTAGTGTCAGGATAAACGTGATTTACCGGGTTGCCATAATCGACACCCGGTGTCAAGGCAAACCTGTGACAACTTGATTAAATCCTCGGGTTTGGTGGCTGCATAAAAAACATGTAAGGGGGTATATCCAGGTGTTTGAGACTCAGAAGCAAATCCCAGCCTCGCATTACTTACTTTGGCGTTGATAAGTATCACACAGACTAGGAGGATTTGCCCTAGAACAGCTGACGCGGTCTGAATCCTGGGGTAGTCACTTGCCATACCAAGACGGCGTCACACCTAGTTTACAGTAGTAGACCCAGGGGTCGGTAGATGGAGACGTTGATGCTGTCGTCACCTACAGTCTTGGATACAAGAACACTGGGTGTACCACCCGTTATATATCCGAACCGATTCCACTTGAACGCCGGCATATATATTTTTGAATTGTCAAACTGTAAGTAGTTTATGCTCCCTCCTTCTGGTTATAATCCGTGTGGGTGGGTCGGTGGGTATCTGGGGGTCCGACCGTGAGCCGGGCCCCACCAAATTACGATCATAAATTGTCAACATTGACCCCGATGACTGAAGCGAAGTCCTGTACACGGTCCTCAATCCATAGCTCGACTGTGAACTCAAACTGTTGGGAATACCGCTCCGAGCCTGACCAATCGCGTCTGTGCTGAGATCACTTCCCCTTACACTGTGACGAAGTGAGGGTACAGTTCTCAGCGTGTGCTGTTCGCGCTCGACCCACAGCGTGTGCTGTGTTCACAGAAAAGAGACGCATCGAACGATTGGGCCATGTATCTGGGTTATTAATATGTGCAGCGTCGACTAGCGACTTATGTCACTAAACTGCCATCGACACACGCCATACAAATTCGCGATGCAAAGTTTGTTTGCTTACATTGGGCGTGGTTGTTTAGTCAGGCGATTGATGCAGCCTCGCGTCCGCTAACGCTTGGAGTCTTGAGCGGCAAGTCTGTCCAACGAATGTGAATAAGGCTGTCCCAGAGTTAAACCGAAGTCGGGAGTTACACGGCAAGCCGAATGTACGACGCAGGCACGGGGCTAATATCTAATTCATAATGGGTGTAACAGCATATTTGAGAGCTGGGCTGTCGGAGAAGACGAGATTAATGTCAAGAGCGACAATTCATCATATCGTGGCATATATGTATGTACACCCACTTTGTCGTTGCCCCGCGACCCAGTCCCGTCACGGCTGTGGAAGCGGCATTAAAAGTGACGTGACTTGTCCCCTAAGCAACACTCGCTGTGATGTTCTATCGATATCCATCAGATCGTAGTTAGCATAGGATGGGGAGACAGAATCGCAGCGTCATCCTGGTGATCACAAGTGTTAGTTAACGGAAACACACACACACACATACACACACACACACGCGCGCGCGCACTCACGTGTGTGGATACAGTGTTAAATTATTTCTTTTCCACATCATTGCGTGGCATAGAAAAGAACATGTATTAAGGTCATATAAATAAGCGAGTGAGTTTAAATTTACGCCGCACTCAGCAATATTCCAGCTATTTGGCAGCTGTCTGTAAATAATGAAGTCTGGACCTGACAATCCAGTGATCAACAGCATGAGCACCGACCTGCGCAATTGGGAACCGATGACATGTGTCAACCAATACAGCGAGCCTGACCACCCGATCCCGTTAGTATCCTCTTACGACAAGCATGGGTTACTGAAGATCAATATTCTAACCCGGACCTTCACGGGTATCCCACATGGGTACAATGTGTGAAGCCCATTTCTGATGTCCCCGCCGTGATATTGCTGGAATATTGCTAAAAGCGGCGTAAAACCATACTGGCTCACTCCACAGGTCTGCGCATATGGGAAGTCGTGGCAACCATCACCCGTTACCATGGGATGCTGAAGACCAGTTTTAACCGTAACTTCATGGTTTCAACCGGATATTAACTAGCGTTATCAAGTGTACGAAATGCACTGTTACGACTCAAGCGGAAATCTACTATACAGCCTATAGGGGAGACCGGGTTCAATCGTAACATGGGGCAATTGTAACAAGGACGATTACTCTAAAAGATTTCGCTCAAGCATAATGTAGGTAAGTAGAGTTATTTCCCTTTGCTTTCCTACGGTACACATCCGGGCGTTTTTCAGCTGATCGCTCATGGCGAGATACAGTAGACGAAAAATCTTTTTTGACATAAGAAAGTAAATTTTTCACAAAACGTAATAAAACGTTCTTAATGCAGTAAATGTTGCTTGGTATGAAATTAACTTTTCAAGTGTAAAATTGAGTCATTACGACTTATTTTGAAGTAGAAATATTTGAGAAGCCCAAAGTTGTTAACATGTGACGTGGCATGAAACATGGCTACGAGCATCGGGGGCAAATGTAACACTGTGTTACAACTGCCCCCATGTAATTTTCCCTTATGTTATGATGATGAAGCAAATTATGATGTCGGTTTTATGTTAGTTCTTTACTAGTTTCATCATAGTAGAACATTTTCAGTCTTATGTTGATAGTATTGGCCCTCGGGTGAAAGTTTTTGGTGTTAGTCTTTGTATAATATTTTGTGCATACGAAAACAAGAATTTTAAACTAAAAACATTTTAAATGTCGACGGTGACAAAGGTTTAATATTAATCCATTTCCACCTCAATTGATCAAGGTAACATCTTTCCACATTTTATTTTGATTTTATTTGGAAAATAAACAGATTCTTACATTGGAACCTTCTTTGTTACAATTGCCCCATCCACCTGTTACAATTGCCCCGTGCTAGGGGTCAATTGTAACACTTGCATTCATTGCATTTGATACGTAATAACTTTGTAACGACATGATCGTGAACTTTAAATGACTACGAGGTTTAAAGCCAAGAAGCTAATGTATCAGTTAGTACCGATAGACTTTGTTAGCGGTCGACTAATAACGAATTACAAGAACTTAAGTAAAAAGTGTTACAATTGACCCCGGTCCCCCCTACTGAGAACAGGGCCCGTATTGCTCCCTGAACATGAATAATGATGAGTGTCTTCCACACATGACTCGTGCACCTGGTGTAGCAGACTAACGTGAAGTAACATCAGGCGTGGGACATTTTTAATTTTATTTTATGATATTTTTTTCACAAACTGTTTTAGACATCTGTGTGTACATTAACTTTCTTCTGAGGCAATTCACATGGAGTTTGCTAGGCAAACATGCATAGCGTACTCCATCCAGTAAAGGGGCTGTGGGGTAGCCTAGTGGTTAAATAGTTGATTCGTGACGCCGAAGATCCGGGTTCGATTCCTCACATGGGTACAATGTGTGGAGCCCATTTCTGGTGTCCCCCGCCGTGATATTGCTGGAATATTGCTAAAAGCGGTGTAAAACCATACACACTCACTAACTACTCACTCACTTGACCATATTGCACGCAGCTGCACGTGTAGTGACCCAGTCACGTAAATCTGATGACGCTCTGAAACTCCTACATTCTTTACACTGGCTGCCCATTCACTATAGGATTCAATTCAAGCTTCTGTGCCTCACTTTCCACTGTCTGTCTGGATCTGCCCCTTCGTATCAGCCGCCTCCGTGGTGTAGTGGTTAGAGCGTCCGCCCGGAGAGCGGAAGGTCGCGGGTTCGATCCCCAACCGCGTCATACCAAAAGACGTTAAAATATGGTACTTGTTGGTCCCTGTCTGGCGCTCGGCATTAATGGATACAACAAGGACTGGTCGGCTCGGAGTCAGTATACTGTGTCTGAGTGGGGTATTCATGCTTCACTGCGGCATGGTATCTCAGTGAGCTAGCACTATAAAACCAGCTTAAGTCTGGACTAGTACAAGCAGCCGCATATACACATACACACGCATGCACGTCGTCTTATGAGCGAAATATTCTCAAGCACGACGTTAAACCAAATTTCACCTCACCTCACCTTCGTATCAGGTCCAGTCCCTCACACAGCACCGCCCATCTCGCTCTCTCCGTTCTCAGGATAAACGTTCCCTCGTTATCCCCACTGTGAGGACGTCTACATATGGTTAAAGGTCCTTTTCATATGCAGCCTCTACAATCTGGAATCAACTGCCTCAATATCTACGTGACTGTACAGAACTTTCTCATTTTAAATCCTTACTAAAGACTCACTTCTTCAGATTAGCCTATGAGTGCAAACGATAATTCATTGAATTGTTTCCATGTATCTCTGATATTTTATTCTCTCTTAGTGTCTGTTTTGTATATACTTCTATGTCTTGCGCTTTGAGCATGTTTTACATGGAAAACAGCGCATTACAAACATGCTATTATTATTATTATTATTATTATTATTGATGAAACGCGTGATCACTTCTAAGGGACGCAACTCCGCTCGGCTAATTGCGCTAGGGCCACCAGTGAATGTGATGGTGGTGATAACGATGATGACGACGTTGATGATGATGATGATGATGATGATGATGATGATGTAGGTGGTTGTGAAAGTGTTTTAATTGTGATATGGATGGCAATAGCTGTGCCGGTGACAATGATTGTGGTGACGACGACGACGATGATGATGGTGGTGGTAGTGGTGATAATGACGACACTGATTACAATGTTGTTAATGTTTCGGGTGATGATGTACATGATTAAGGGTGATTATTATGATGATGAGGAGGAGGGTAGCTACACATGTCCCATGAATAATACTTAAAAGCTCAGTCATGTGGAACGGTATGTATAATATACACAGAGACGCCACATGTGCAGCTGATGGAATGCGGTTGTAGGTCTCCCGGTTCTGTCCACTAAACACAAAGCGGATGTCATAAACCAACATCTGTGATAAACCATGACCAATGCGCTCAAGTATTACATAAGGTATAACATCTGATAACTACTATTTTTGTTGATTCTAAAGGTATCGCCACATGGATGTTTTTGAAAGATAAGTCTGTGTATATATACTGGAGAGAGAGAGAGAGAGAGAGAGAGAGAGAGAGAGAGAGAGAGAGAGAGAGAGAGAGAGAGAGAGAGAGAGAGAGAGAGAGAGAGAGAGAGAGAGAGAGAGAGAGAGAGAGAGAGAGAGAGAGAGGGTGTAGGAGTTAAATGGATTGTGAAAGAGAGACAAAGAGAGTGTACGAGAGAGGAGAGAGAGAGAGGGAGGGGGGGTGGGGTAGTGAATGAGACAGAGAGGCACATACCATCCCCAGACCTCTTGTGAAGGTTACATACAGGAGCAAAGGCCTCTGATTAACAAGTGCCACTTATGTATCAATATACGGCCCGGATAGGCTTGGCCCATTCCGGAGATAACATCATCTCCACGTATGTCTACTGAGAGACACAAGCAACCCTTTCGCGTTCATACAGCAGCCGTTCACTGTACACCACCGAAACCTACATGCATAAAACACAACACTTATCCTTGCTCTGTTTGACATCTTTGGGGTTTCACCTTTGTCGAGCTTGAGGCAAATTCCTCGTGTTACATTTAAGCGAAATTTACCAGTTTCAAAAGTGTCAGGCCTTATGAAAAGCGTCAGTCATGCACAGCCCAGCCTCAAAGTGTAATGATGCAAACAAACTGTTATGAATGATAACATTACGAGTCAAAAATAAATATATTGCCATTTTACGTGCGCTTTATTAAATTAACACACGTTTAAATCTACATTTTTAAAATACATTTAAATGTTAAAGAAATATATTCTTACAGATTTAAATTAGATTTGAATATTTAAAACATACACAGATTGTAAAACTGTTGCGTCCACAGAAACACTCTACAGATACAAGTGTTCTTGAGTGTACATCATATATGCATATATCTTGAAATCCTTTTCAACGCTTCGTATGAACAACCGGGTTCAGAGGTCACTGTGTTATGGGAAGGGTAAAGTAGGTTCGTTCAACAAAGGGCACCTGCTCGTATGTCAAATATACAATAAAGAGTTCTACAGAGACGAGCCTATCGTAAC